GAACCTGGGCTATATTACATATTAGACAGACATCTTAGCCATTAGGCCACAGGCTCTGATCTGTTATCAGCCAAGCCAGGCTGATAACGGATACATATACATATACATGTACATGTACATGTACATGTATTTGTATATGTATATACATATACATCACGTGACAATGTGGCACCACGAGTTTGACACCTGTGCTTTAACAGTTCAAGATGATGCACATGGAGATTGCTTCTAATTGCTGCATCTGGGGGTAACTTGGGCAGAGAACTAACTAAAGTCATCAAGAAGAGGAGTAACAAGTCCTTCTACCTTACATACTACATCTGATAGATAGGTAAATAGGAATGCAAGAGATATACAAGAAGTCAGGGTCCCATTGATTTTGGAAGTACATTTGGTGGGACCATGTAAAAGGACCTTTTCAGCAGTAGCCTTTTCTTTGTGGAACATCAACATCCCACCCTGTTGCTTTTCTGAAAGATCCAAAAATATGGTTTTATCAGAGGGCCTGGGGACCATGAATGGAGAAGGAGCAAGCAACTGTATTGCTGCTACTGCCATGGGGGTGAAGGTTATAGGGAGTTGTGGTGACACAATGATTAGAATGCAGAATTGCAGAATGACTCTGCTCACTCCCAGGAGTTTGATGCTGACTGGCTCAAGGTTAACTCAGCCTTCCATCCTTCTGGGATCAGAAAAATGAAGATCCAGAATGTTGGTGGCAATATGCTGATTCTGTAAAACCATTTAGAGAGGGCTCTAAAGCACTATGACATGGTATATAAGTCTAAGTGTTGTTATTGTAAGTTTTTATGTTCTGGATTTTTATATGCTGTAAGCTGCTGGGGATCAACTATGTGCGAGTTGGGTGGCCATATAAATTTGTTTTAACTAACCAATTAATTAATTAAACACAATTCACTGATAAGCTGAACATCTGTTTCTCACACATGTGTGCTGGAAGGACTTAAATGAAAGAGTTTGAATAATCTAACTTCTCCTTTCTTAAAAGCACAGGAGGCTATTTACAGGCCAAACATAATGAAATCAAATGTTATGCTATGTGTCTTTTACATAAACATCCCCCAAGAGAATAGTTATCAGGAGGGATGTGCAAAACATTTCAGCCACCTGTTTTGATCTCAGAATAATACATTCACATTTCAAGGGGTTAAGTCCAATCTCACATCTTTTTTTTAATGTGAAGATTTGTTAAAATTCTTTTCCCCAACCTAGTCAAGGCAGCAGTTGGCAATTACTGCTATTAATTTAGAAAGGGCAGAATGAGGTGGAAGAGAATACGGAGGAGAAAGCAATGGATTCAACACATACCAAGAGAAAAGGAAACTACTTACACAAGAGTGTCTACTAAATAAATTATTGCTGTTTTGAAAAGCTTCTATGCTGCAGGGAACTTAAGCATGTATTCTGATAATGAACTGCAGTTAAAGCTCATAGATGATGTGTTTTCTTGTGGTTATTCTTGAAGTTAAGAAACAGTATCAAACCAGAGACACTCACACCAGCAATTCATTTACATGCTCAAACAAGAACTTCACTTACAATATCACAATAAAGATTCAGGAGGAGACATGCCAAACCTGATATCAGATCTGTATCCTTACATCGTAAGGACTGTAAGGATACAAGCAACAAAGTTATAGTCATACAGTCATAAGTGGGAGGAGATGGATTAGTAATTACTATTAATTTTCACGTTCCTATCATCTATCTCCTCCCACTTATGACTGTATGATTATAACTTTGTTGCTTGTATCCTTACGATTTATATTGACTGTTTCCTAGTAGGATTTGATTGCTTATTTGTAACCTATGACTATCATTAAATGTTGTACCTTATGATTCATGATGAATGTATCTTTTCTTTTATGTACACTGAGAGCATTTGCACAAAAGACATTCCTTGTATGTCCAATCACACTTGGCCAATAAAGAATTCTCTTCTCTTCTATTCTATACATGGCTATTACAAACAAACAAAACGAAGCTGCATTTTCATGAAAACATTAAAAGAAACAGTCCAAACAGTTCAGAAATATCTAGCTTCTTAATTATGACAAATACACCAACTTCTTTTAATATGTTTTGCTCAACGCTTCCAGGCACATACCACAGACAACTTTATAAAAAACAAAATATTTATACAAACACTACATTCCTATTACCTGCTCACTTATTGAAGGCAGAATTCCAAATTCTTTTATGTATTTGTCTGTCTCTTTGGCAAGTTGGTTTGTATATTGCTGCTTTTGTTGCCTGGAACAGAAAGTTACAGGTAACTTGCTGGGTTATTTTACTAACATTGCTGTATAACTATCAACCGTCTTTAAGATAAACCTTTGGGAAATAGATGTTTATTACTCAATGTGTCCAAAATAACTCCTGGCTTTAGTTCAATGCAAATGAAGAACAGAGAATTGAATAGTGCTGGAGCAGATTTCACTTCATAAAAAGAATAGTTATTGACCACAATTGGTGACATAAACTCCACAAAAATTTTTTAGTATTTGCTACACAAATAAAATCTTCATTTTAAGTTTGTTGCAGTTTGACTGCAACATTCAATAATAAATGTCAAAGGTAGCAAATGTGTAGTTCAAATTTTCGGAATCAATTTGATGGCTTTTATTAGTTCAATACTGGGTTTTTTTGTTTCCATCTGGCTATCTGGCAATGCCAACAATATACTTGATGTATTAACATGTCAATAAATGTTCACTCTCTCTCTTTCTCGTTTGTTCTCAAATGTTTTCAAGATGCTGAACACTTTGATAAGACCCCAGAACTTATTGAGAAGTTATCTACAATGCAACCCAAGGAAAGGTAATCTCATGAAGCACTTACAGCTGTTGCCGCAATTCATGTGTGTCTTGTGGGGTTCCAAGTTGATTCAGCACTCTTTGTATTTCTGCAGCTGTTTGGGGGTGGGGGAAAGAGATAGAGATTTTGTAAGTGATACAGTTCTACCACAATGACATGCATCCCTAATTGAAAATTAAGAAATACACACCAGTTAATAGGGTTAGGGAAAATCCAATTCAACACAACTATTGTGATACACATGTACACTATATAAAATGGATCACGGTAAAACTGAACCAGTGAAAGCTGAACTCTTTCAAATCACATTTTAAAAATCTTTTAGCACTTTAAGTAGAACTGATGCTACACAAATACCAAATGCTTAAGAACATTCTCACTTGATATCAATAATCTCATATCTTCAATCTTATGTTAAGAGAACAAGTAATGTACATCAAAACAAGTCAACCAGAAGGTTTATAACAAGGTACAGATTATTCCTGTCTGTATTATTTCATGAATAATGAATATACTACAGATGTCACAAATATTGGCAGAGAAAAGATTTTAAATCTAGTTCTTAACCCCCTAAAATGTAATGAGATTATTTATAATTTAACAACAGGAAAGAAGGATTGTATGTGGAGATGACCTACTGTTGTGATTAGGAATCCTATCTTAAAAAATCAAAAACTTCATCCAAATGTACACAAATTATGGGATATGCTCATTAGAATTAACCCTTTCCACATACATCAATTGGTACATGAAATCAAGAATGAAAAGATTTGTATTTTGTAATCACACATATGAAGGGGTAGTTAAGTTGAAATGACACATCTATCAATTGTCAAGTAATCATTTTTTACTTTTCAATTTAGATTTCACTTATTCTAGTCCTGAAATTGGTGTAGTCTTCCTCAAACTGATGCTCACCAGTTGTGTTAAATTTGAACACTAGACAGGTACTCTGAAGGCAGTGAGAACCAGAATAAATGTACTCAAGAATTCAACATGGCTAACATACATCCTGGAAAATTAGTATGAATTCATACCATCAATCCAGGCCATTGAATACGTGATCTGCAAGGGGTGGGGATGGGGAATATTGTTCAAAATATCGTAGGTTTATGAAACTATATTAAACATATTTTGTGCTATGATTGAAATGAAATTTAGCAGGATTTTAGTAGTTCGTATTTAAATGTGAATTTAAAGTATTTTCAGTTTTACAGTATTTTTTAACTTTAAATTATTTATTATTAAATTTATTTGGTATACAGACCACTAGCACATTTTATGAGTGATTGCCACTTGCTGGCCATTTTTCTTTGGTCTTAGAGATTAATTCCATGTCAAAATTCACCCAAGAAATATAAAGTTCTAGTAAATGAATTCAGAGCAATTAAAAATAATTAAAGATCAGGCTAAATTACAAGGAAACATTCTATTTGTTAATTTAGCAGTCTCTCTGTTGATGTGAACCAATAGGTGCCAGTATCTAACTGGACTTATAGCCTGATTAGCATTTGGATGGGAGATCTCCAGGTGATATCAGCAGTGTAGGTGAAGTTGGAACATCCAGGTGGCAATGGCAAACTACTTCCCAGATGTTGTCAACTAAACAAGGATGTCAGGAGTGGAGCTTGACTTGAAGGAGATGTTATCATTTATTCATGCAGTAGATTGATTGAAAATGTGCCATTAATTAGTTACAGTAAATCTAGTTAAGGTGGACTGAAAGCCAGCTTCTTACAAAAATAAATTATAAACTACGTATATCCTTACACCTCTACCCTTTTCTCCCTGACTTCTACTATGTAACGTTAACGTTTGAGATATTGGATGGGCCCCTAAAATGGAGAAAACTCAGTAAACCAATTATGTTTTTGTTGTTGTTGGTTGCAAAGTCGTGTCTGACCCATCGCGACTCCATGGACAACATTTCTCCAAGCCTTCCTGTCCCCTACCATCCTCTGGAGTCCATTTAAGCTCATGCCTACTGCTTCGGTGACTCCATCCAGCCACTTCATTCTCTGTCATCCCTTTCTTCTTTTGCCCTTAATCTTTCCCAGCATTAGGCATTCTCCAGTGAGATGTTTTAATTGATTAAAGAAAAATCAAAGAACTATGCTGGATTAGAACAGGGTGGGCAGCCTGTTGTAGTCCAAATGTCTTGAACCCCCATATCAAATTAGCATGGCCAATGGCTAGAGAATGAATCTGCAACAAAAGCCACCCTTGCTTACAAATACTGTATAATCAAGGCATCACCTAGTGCAAGAATTGTCCTCAAAAGTACATCAAGAAGAATATAGAAAGAAAAGTGGAATGGTGGAAGTGCTTAACTTTACTGTAAATGATGCTGATTTTTTAAAACCATGTCCTTCTACGACTAAAATGATGATACACTGATGAAATATTTTGCAAAAATAAGTGCTGTCACTCAAGCAGCAAAAATATTATTGATCAGCATGGAACTATGAAGGATAAAGTCCTTAAAAGTCAAACTACAAACTGTTGCTCCGGAGAGGTTTCATAAACTTTCACACTATACCCTACAGATAAAACTGGAAAAAAAAATCTAAGGAATGATGGCTTGACATTGATCACATATAAAACAGTTTTGCATCATTACTATTCCTTTGTTCTGCAATGGGATAAATAGAGAAAAAAATAATGTTTTATAATGTTACTTTTAGAAGATGTCAATGATGCTCAGGGTCACAGAACACTCTACATTAAAGATCATTATCATTTTATTCCTATACTACAAGGAAGAACAACCATTAAGCTAGTAACTAAGACATTTCTAAACCATAAGTTAATTAAATTGAAATACATTTGGTTATTTTTTTTTAGATAATATGGTTGTCATTTTATAAAAAGGTTTCCTGTCTTCTGATCCACTTAATAGGTTATTATCAACAGTAATGACCAAATTCACATCTTGAACTAATATAGTGAATAATTGCCTGGGTTGGCATAAAACCGTGATGGCAAACCTATAGCACACGTGCCACAGGTTGCATGCGGAGCCATTTCTGAGGGCACAGGAGTCGTTGCCCTGTCAGCTCCAGTGCGCATGTGCATGCTGGCCAGCTGATTTTCAGCCTTGATTTTCGGCCATTTTTCGCCCTCCAAAAAACCGCCTAATGTGTAAACTGGAAGTTCAGGAACGGACTTTCAGTTTGCACATTGGGCTGTTTTTTGCTCTCTGGAAACATCAGAGAAGCCTCCTAAAGCCTCGGGAGAGAGAAAAATGGCCAAAGGGGAAACCCAGATGTCCATTCCTGAACTTCTGGTTTGTGTGTTGGGCCATTTTTCGCCCTCCCTAGAATCCTAGAAAGCCTCTGGAGCCTGGGGAGAGTGAAAAATGGATCTACTGGGCCCACTAGAAGTTGGAAAACATGCTGTTTCCACCTCCGGAGGGCTTTGGGGGGGGGGGGGAAGCCATTTTCACCGACCCCAGGCTCCAAGAAAGCCATGCATACATGTGCGGGGCAAGGGGGTCATGTGCACATGTAGTGGGCACATCATGGGGGTCATTAAATTATGGGAGGGGCACGAGCACGCCCGATAGTGCACGTTTTTGGCACCCGTAGCGAAAAAGGCTCACCATCACTACTATAAGCTATAATACTAAGCTATAAACCATAGGAATTAAAGTTTACTACATCCTCAGTCAATGCATTATGAACTCATCAAGATATGTGAACCATATGAATATGTTCATTTTTATTTTCTAAAATAAGAATATTTTAGTACATCAGGTTACCACCAGCAGCTAAAAGGAAAAGAAGGCAAAGAACTAGGCAAAGAAGCATTCTATAGTGGTATATGGGAAAGACTTTGAATTATGGGTTAAAGAGATGCTGCCAAGGGAATGGTCAAATAAGAGAGAACATAGCCCAGAGTTGAACAATGGGCAGAGCAAAAGGCTCAAGAGGGACCCTCCCTAGTTTCTCAGGCTGTCAAGATGGCAGGAAAGTTGTACTTTCACATTTGCATGATTCTGTTAATATAGCTTTACAAAAATAGCTCATCTGGTCATGTTTCCTGTCTGGTTTGCCTCCTTAATTTTACTGATTTCTTCTTTCCTTTGATAACCATGAAGTCTATATGTAGTTTAAGAGCAGATTTTATTAACTGAACATTATAAAAATTATGTTTTTATGACCAGAAATAACATACAGGGGATTTGCATTATGTAATAATTATAACAACTCCCTTGCTAGCTACATAGCATCTAAGTATTATATGCACAGAATGACTATTCAATTAAGAGGAAATAATTATACTATCCATCTTGATCCATCTTAAATACAAATAAACCATAGTTTTGTGGTTTCATTGATTCATGTATTTTTAAAGATAAATTGCTAGTGTTAATTTCATGGTTAGTGTTCCATGACCCTTGAACTGAATCTTGTTCTATCGAGAATGATTCAGAAGTTAATAAATCACAGTAGTAAGGTTAGATACAAAACTGTGTCAACATCATAATCTAATTGCCTGTGTTTACTCTCCTGTTATTCCTACTGAAGAACTTTTCCACTTTTGGAGTTCTGAAGTTGAAAAAGGAAAGAATTCAAATGCTCAATAGTGGGTGGGAGGGCGAGAACTGTTAGTGGCTAGGTTCAAACAATGTTCTATTATATTTTTAATTAAGGAGATCCAGTTGATCAATATGTGTCAGATTTATGTTAACCCAATGTCATTCTATGTTCCTCAATCAGGGAGGAACACTCTGTTGCCTTCCAGATGTCTCAACTCCTGGATGTTGCAATCTCCACTCTTTCTAATCATAAGTGATGCTGGCTGGTCCCAAACGAGTAGATTACTACAGGCCCTATCATTTCTCAAAGCGACTGTCATGTAACAATTTCCTTCCTTTCATTTATTATTACCACCAAAGATTGCTCCTCACTGCAAACTCTTTCACAGTAATGGAATATATGGCAGAGCCTATGAAGTAGTTGTGTTCATCTTGGATTCTGATAGTTGTTTATAGTTTTATCCTGATTTCCAACTGTATATTTGTTGTTATGCTGTTTGGGTAGCTCACAACAATTTAAAAAGGCAACCCAGAATCATTACAATGAGATGGGTTGCCTTGCAAATCTAAATAAATAAATAGCAATCAATTCTAGAGCAAACTGGTGTGTTACAGATATTTTGAACTAGAGCTTCTACATGATTGGCCAGTGGGAGTTAAATTTCAAAATGTCAGAACTAAATTGCTTTTTCAGTGGAAAGGATCTTCGTATATCTTGTCTTCTGCCCACAATTTCACCACACAAACAACAAATCTCCCAAGCAGTTTGGATGTTATTTGCACGTGAAATAAGAATGAGTCATATTGGTAAATATTTACATGTCCATGTATGAAAACAAATGGGGCAACTCTGATTTAAATAAAATGTGGTTGAAGGCAAAGGAGAAGGTAGAGCAAATGAAGCTTAACAAATACTTTTAAACATATACAGGTAATCCTTGGCTTACAACAGTTTATTTAGAAACTGTTTAAAGTTACAATGGCACCAATAAAAGTGATTCATGACCATGTTTCACACTATGTCCTTTGCAGCATCCCTGTGGTCGTGTGATCAAAATTCAGACCCTTGGTAACTGACATGCACCTATGACAGCTGCAGTTTCTAATTTTCCTAGGAGAGATGAGTGCGGGCCATCTTATGGACAATCCATTCCGACCGCATCCGGACCATCAGACCCGGGGAAAGGGCCCTGCAGTGGGGGATAGTGTTGTAACTCAGCAGAAACCTGTGAGTTGTTTCAGGATGCAGGATAATGAGCAGTTGCTCGTTAGGGTCTTCTCCTGCAGATAAAAGACTGATGGTGCCACGCCTTAGTCGCAGAAGTCAACGTCGTTCGTCCGTTTGTTAGTTCCATTCCATTCCTGGTCTAGTTCGTGTTCATGATTCAAGAAGCACTTGGATAAGTGATTTGCTTTATGTAAACCTGGTTTGCTGTGAGAGTTTGTTTTTGTATTTGCTGTGTAACTTTTTGCCAGAAAATTTATCTATGTTTATTTTGGGCTTGCAGCCAGCTTGAGCTGGGACTGATAAAAATATTTCCTTTGAAGCTCTGTCTGGCTGTCGTTTGTGAAAGAGCAAAGAGGGGGGTCAGAACACATATGTATGAGGGGAACCTTTACCTTTTTACCTTTTTAAAAAACGGGAGTTCTTACATTACCAGCACAATACCATTCAAATGGAGGAGAGATTCACACTATTCTTTTGAATAGACACAATTTCTAATGAAACAATGTCCCTATTTAAAAATCTATACAAACCTGGTGGTTTTTTTAAATCATCCATTTTACACACACACACACACTCCTTGCTACTTGAATATCCTTCTTTTCCTATTAAAGTTTGGCATTCAACCATGTTGCTATCCTAGATTTTCAAAGCTGTGAATAATTTTAGTGAATGCTTCACTAATTCATTAATTCCATTCTAAAATTATTCTGGGCTTATTATGCATATGAATAACAAGCTGAACAATGACGCTTTCAAGAATAGTAGAGAGACCAAGGATGGACTGATATGGATGGCATATTGAACAAAAACAATTGTTTTTTTTTATTATGAGATTAAGAATAGCTTGCTCCCAGGATTATACATCTGCTCTTCCTTCTACCATGTGGCCACAGAGATACCGGAAAGCCTTCATTACATGATAAAATTTATCACAGCTCACCAAGTCATTTAACCAGATAAATGATAGTTTGCTTAGGTGGTGGATATAAGTAAACTTCAACAATTTATGAATCTGGTTTGTGATCACTTATTGTAATCAACCAGTTTAAAATGCAGTTGGCATGATAATTTGTGGTTAGTCCAAAACAGAATTGAACCTTTTCGCTTTCCTTCTGACAAGGTTTCAGGAGAATATGAGGAAGTGTATGAGATTGTAAATCTTTTCAGAATTAATTTTGAAGGTGCTACAGAGAATTCTACAAACATGAATGTCTCCCCCCAGTAGAAGTGGAGCTTTGAATTCAGGCTAGGAAGAGGACTTGCTAAATCTACACAATATATACACAATGAAGCATTTTTTAGAACATCTCTTTGTGAAGTATGCCAACCTTTCAAAAGGAAAAGCATGTGTCATGTGTGAATAATTTATTGTCTAACTTTTTAATCCATTCTAAAATGATCATGTTAAAGTAAAAAGATTTCTGAACACATCAGTATACTGTGAGAACCATGAAGAGTTGTTACATCTCCAGTGCTGCTTGTTCCAGAGATTGAAGCAAAAGCAGAACTACTTCTATTGTTCATTTTCTTAATTAAACACATACTCTAGCTGGACAGATCCCATTTCAGTTCCATGTGCATTGAGAGAGACAGCATTATGCACAGTATGTTTATGGAGATTCTCAGTCAGATCATGGTTGTCCCAAAGAGGCAACTGGACTTTCTGATTTTTCTTTGAAGATGTTTTGCTTCTCAGCTTCTGACTGGAGCTTAAGAAGCTTCTTGTATGAGAAGCAAAACGTCTTCAAAGAAAGAACAGAAAGTTCAGTTACTTCTTTAAAAAGCACCTTTGGGATGATTATGCACAGTACTTTATTCTGTACTATGGTTCCAAATGAGTTGCACTTAAGACATCCATCAAGGCTTGACAAGTCCCACTTGGACAAGTTTCTCATGCCTCTTAGTACTGGTACTTTCACATCAAACTGCTGTGGCCTGATTTAGTTTATCTGAGTACTATCTCTTGTTTCAGGAGCCATCATCTCTTGTTGTGAGAGCCATTATCTTTTTCTTCTTTGAACTCTTAATTTTCTTTAGGTTTGGGGAACGAAAAGTATAAACCTCATACTGATACCTTTTATCATATTCATTTCACCAATTAATATGAAGCATAAACATTCTTGCAATACTTCTTCTCTTTTAACAAGAGTTTTGCTTTTTCTACTTTTAAAATATGAATACCTGCCTTGAATTAGCACTATCATTTAAAACAGCAAAACAAAATTTCTGCTTATAATTTCCTCCCAGAAGGTTTAATAACAGGTAATAAGAGAGGAAATTGAATGGCATATATTCAAGTTCTGCATGAGGAAAAGATGTTTCCAGGCCAATTTTGTCCTCTGCAGTGTTTTCTTACCATAAAAAACATTACACAAGATGAATTCACTCTTAATTCTTCACCACTCAGAATATATACTTTAGATAAGACTACCAAGAGGTTTAATTAGTAAGCTAGTGCCAAACATTCACCACTTAACAGGCACAAAATATTACTGCCTAACTAATAAAGTCAAGAATTACAAAAATGACAACATGCTATTTACTTGTGGACGTTTAAAATATCTTTTAAATGAAATCTGCATCAGTCAAAAAAATGTTAATATGAGTAGTCAACTTACTGCATTGTGTGATTTTCTGTATATTAGACGTTATACGTTGGGCCAACTGGTTAGCATCCCCAGCAGTGTTTGCATTATCCACCATGGTTTATTATAACCCAACTAGTCATATAGTTCAGGGACCACTAAGCAACAACACCTGCAAAGAAAGAAACACAGTTTAAGGCCTTATGCACAATGAGGAACTGTGCTGTAGAACTCACATTAACAAAGTCCTTTCTAAAAAAAAAAAAATTGAAAAAAAAAACAACCCCGGTTAAAATACAAAATTACAACAAAAGAGAAAAGATGAGAGATGGCAACAACAGGGAAAGTTTAAAATTTGATATTAAAACAAACAAAAGAATAACAAAAAAAAAGGTTACTTCCAACTCTCTTCAATATCATTACTATTCTATAAAAAAATAAACTCTTGTTTTGGATTATCAAAAGAAAGATACAAAATTAAAAATATAAATACAAATAATAACAGCAACAGTATACATCATGATCTCTTAATTTGAAGAAAACATACCCACACGTGCATCATATTACCATTCCAAAAATATAGATTACTGGATATTTCTATAATAAAAATCTATAATAGAATAACCCTCCACGTTCAGATTAGCCAAAACATAAACATCTAAGATAAAAATGTGTAGCTATCAATCTCCCTACATTTCTACAATCAGAATAATCCAATCCTTCTTGAAATCAGTAACAGATATCCCAAAGGTGCTTTTTCAAAAGGGAAATGGACTTTCTTCCTTTTTACTGGAAGACATTTCATTTTTAATCCAAGAAGCTTCTTTAGTAGTTCTTCAGAACATAAGAAGCTTCTTGGATGAGAAGTGAAATGTCTTCCAGGAAAAAAACAAAGTCCAGCTGCCTTTTGAAAAAGCACCTTTGGGACAACTATGACCTGGAAGACTGAGAAACCCCCCAGACACTAACAAATACCCAAATATATAAATACTGTACATCTGCATAACCAGAATCCCAAATATTACTGGTGGGTTCCCATGTAAAAAATAATAATTAGGTACACAATTTGCTTTCCTTTTACTAGTTGTAACATTTTAAAAGAAATATTAAATTCTGTTTTCATTACTTTTTATAGTCCATATGGTTTATTTTTGTAGGCTTTCCATTTTTCCTGAAAAAATTGTTTTCATGTTGGCATTTGCACCCCTAAAGAGGAATGAAAGCTTAGTAAGGGAGCAAAAGGAGAGTTCAGGACAATGAGACATTGAGGGCAGTTAAGACTTCCAGCAAATCCCAAAGGAAACACACTAATAAATAAGGACAGCTAGATGGGGAAGGAAGACACAATTCTGAAAAACTGTCTATGTAGAGAAGACCAACACATTTCTACACAAAGATGCAACGAATACACATCTAACACAGATTGAAATGATCAAACAGAGATCCAACCTAGAACTAAGAAGAAATTTCCTGACAGTGAGAAAAATTAACCAGTGGAATGGCTTGCCTCCAGAAGTTGTGGGTACTTATCACTGGAGACTTTTAAAAAGTGATTGGACAGCCATCTGTCCGAAATGATATAAGGTCTCCTGCTTGAACAGAAGGTTAGCCTAGAAAACTTCCAAGGTCCCTCCCAATTTTATTATTCTGCGTTCTACATCAATTTCCCCCAAACTGTTATCTTCCAGGTTCACTGAATTATATAATGCTCAGACATCATGAAGGATAAAAAAAAACAGAAATGTTTTTGCCTATTTCAGGAAGCTTTATCTCTGCAAACTTCCCTGTCCTGTGAACGTAAAAACCTTTGCTAAACCCTATTTGTTAGACGTATGTTTTTTTTTAATGAAAATATGTCAAGAAGTAGCCGAGATATTTCTAAGAAGGCATAAGACCAATGAATAAGAACATTATGAAGCCTTCCACCAAATTTCAAAAAAACATCGCAGAAGCTACAATAAAGATACAAGCTGCAGTTTTTCAAACCTATTTTTAAGTTCTTTTTCAATTCCTTTTACTTTACACATGGCGATATTTCCTCTTTCTCTCTTTTCAGTCTTCAGCAATTTCTGCGGAATTGGCTTATGGAGGTCAAAGAAGTTTCTCAGAGATTCATTAAACTCATTATTAGGTCAGGGTTTCCTTCATCATACTGTGTAAGATATTAATCTTGAAAAATCAGCAGGTTTTCTTTAAAAACACAAAATATTTTTTATTCTAAAATAAAACCAACCACCATTCCTATCACCCTATTCCCTTTTGGGATAAGCAACATATAATAAGGTGAGGAAATGAAGATAGTATAGCCTTTGTTGTCACTGTGCATCATGTATACAATGAAATTGGGGTTGTTGTTGTTGTTGTTTTTGCTTTATAGCAAGATAGGACTGTGGTATAAAAACAAAGTAAATAAAAATATAGAAATAGCAAAAAATGTGGTATATTACAAACACCCTTCACTGTGTTTCTCTTTACCTTTCTATCTCTGCAGTTCACCCTATATCCCTTCATCATTTCAATATAATTGGTTTTTTCTTGCCATCTTTGGACTTTCCCATCTCTATCATTTTCAAGAACTCAAACATTCCAGCTTTCCCAGTCTTCCTCTCCCTCTCCAACAACTAGGTACTTCTGATTTGTTATGAGAGTTAATCATTCATTCAGTTTCCTTGAACAAACCACTTCTTCTAGACTGGTTGCTCACTTTTGTATGGATTCACATTCATTCAGCTCCCATTCATTCTTGATCTACTTCTGGTTTTACCACTCAAGTTTTAAGTGCACGCAATTATTTACTTTTGCATTTCTCTACGCTCCACTGCTCTTTTAACAAGTGAGGCAGAAAGTATGCTCTTATGCCTGACTAAGATGATTAAAGGCCAGGAGACTAAAATATATGAAGAACAGTTGCAGGATTTGGGGTTGGCTAGTCTAGAGAAAAAAAGAACAAGGGGGGACATGATAGTAGTATTCCAGTATTTGTGCAGTTACCACAAAGAGGAGAGGGTCGACATATTTTCCAAAGCAGCAGAAGGCAAGATAAGAAACAATGGATGGAAACCAATCCATTGAGAAGCAACCAGGAATTAAAGCGAAACTTCCTAACAGAGGACAATTAACCGGTGGGACAGCTTGTGCCCTCAGAAGTTGTAGGTGCTTCAACACTGGTGGTTTTTAAGAAGAGACTGGACAGTCACTTGTCTGAAAATTGTATAGGGTCTCCTGCTTGTAACGGGGGGCTAGGCAAGGTCCCTTCCAGGTCTATTCTGATTGATTGATTGATTGATTGACTGATTTTCACTTATTTTGACAAATATTCATTCCTCACCAGAGATCACACATTTGATTTTGTGCCATTAAGTCAGTTTCAATTCTTAGTGACCACACAGATTTCCTCCACGATGGATCACATACTACCATGTCCCATCTTTCTACCAAAATTTGTATGTCTTACAATTTCTCTAGCCTTTTTCTCCTATTTAGAAAACATTCCACCAATGTACAAAATGCATGTGCCTTCTTTAGTTATTTTGCAACCTATGCGTAGCTAAGAACTATTCAGTTTTTCCTGCCATACCCAACTGCCTTGCCTTCTTGGTACATTAATTCTCAGATCTATATGCTTCTTGGCATCATACAAGCTACTGTATGTTCCAAATTATTCAGGATCTAGCCAACAATATGACAGCAATTATAAACATGAACATCACACACTCGCATGCACACCCAGTCCCCTTCTAAAATCACTACATCCTTTATACTTTATTTATAAATATATTAAATAACCATGACGCTCTATCCTTCCTGTTGACGGTTGAACAATATTCAAGTTCTACATTTTTTTTCACTTGCTTTTCTTTCAAATAGTCTTGTTTTGAGTTCAGAAACTCACTCCAGTTCCATCTAAAATAGGGGCGTCAAACTCAATTTCATTGAGGGTCGTATCAGAGTTGTGTTTGACCTCAGGGGGGGCAGGGAGGCGTGGGCAGCTCAATGTCATTTGTGTGGTGGCCCGAGCACTCTGCCAGTGAAAACGGAGCTCAGAAGGGCCGTGTTTTCACTGGCAGTGGGTTGCAGGAGACTGTCGCGGACAAAAAAGGAGCTCAAGAGCGCAGTTTTTGTTGGCAGAGGCATCGTGGGCCTGTCCTTCACTGTTTTCAGGGCAGCCCCGCAGGCCAGATCTAAGCACCCCGCAAGCCTTGGGTTTGATATCCTGGAGCTAAAACTTTCCAAAATCCACTTATTCATTTTATTATATGCTTTCTCTTGTTCAACAAATGTGGAGTAAACTTTCTCGGGTTGATACATATCTCAGTGCCTAACACCATATTTCTCAACTGTTGCTCTCTGCCTTTCACTCTATGAAAATTTGTGAGAAGGCCAATCCTGACCGTGTGGGTCTTGATAACTTCATAATTCTGCCAGTTATCTTCCCAGACATTGGGAAGACATGGGACATTTAACCAGCTAATGTCCCATATCTTTTGCATTTACTCTTGCTACATTTCCTTCTGTATAACGGAACAGTAGCAGCATATACTTCTGATCATCAGACATAAATCCAATCTTTGCACACCTAAAACAAGTTGCACAGCCATTTTGTAAACAACCCATATCTACATTTTAAGATTTTCCCAGGTGTACCATGTACACTTGCAGCCTACTGTTTTTTCAGCATTTTCAAAACATGACATCTTTTCAAATCTGATTAATAATTCTCTCAGAATGAAGACAAAGCCAATCTAAGAAAGGAAATCTGGAATAAAAGTAGGGAGAATTATTAAATCTACAATCCAAAATTGTGTTTCCAACGGGTTATAGTACTGACTAGATTGTTCAATATGTAGCATTCCAGAATTCTCAGGAAAAGTCTAAGATTACTGGACCAATTCAGCAAATTGCTTGAGTGAAACAAGTGCACTTTAAAAATAGATATTCATTTTAGCTTAATTATTACAAAGAACTCTTTAACTGAATCGTGATTATACAACAACCAGAAGCATCAGAAATATACACAGTTAGCTATCTTAAAACTGGGGTTAGGTTCTGATTTTGTTTTAGAAAAAAGAAAGCAACTAAAATATTTTAACTAAGAATAATAGAGTTGGAAGGGACCTTGGAGATCTTCTAGTCCCTGCTCAAGCAGGAGACTTTATACCAGGACTGTCAAACTCCCGGCCCATGGGCCGAATGCGTCATGCAGTAGCCACATCCACACCGGTTTTGCAAAGGGGAAAAAAGTCCTGATATGTCATGTGATGCCATCATGATGACATGAATTTACCATCCCTGCTTCATACTATTTGAGACAAATGGCTGTCCAATGTCTTCTTAAAAACTCCAGTTATGGAGTATCCACAACCTGTGAAGGCAAACCGTTTCACTGACATTTTGCTGATCTATCTTATTATTAGGAAATTTTAAAGTCATAGGTTTATGTTTTAATATTCAGGCACCAGCCTTTTCTGAACTTAAAGAGGGCTTATAAAGTTGAAGTTCATCTTTTTTGGTGACATTTCTGCCAATATCCCTGTAGCACTTATATTTTCCATGATGCTCTGGATGATATCACCAAACTCTTCAGAAGTATTACAAGAGGAAGACATCTATATTCATGGCCCTCAACCAAAGTCAAATGTAGATACTATTCCTTGGCTGACTTCATACATAGGGTAATGCCACTGTTCATTTATCTGCACTTGCTAAATAAATGCCAGTTGACTGTTTGCCCATAACACATAACTCTATAAATCATGCATTATAAACCAGTATGGGTGGATTCATACCAAGCCAAAATCAAACTAACCACATTATAATTTAATATCATTTACCATTGTTTCAAACTGCAAGACTGATTGCACAATCAGCAGAAAGTCACAAACAATTCCTTGGTGTCCTAATATTATTCAGCGGTACTCAAATTAGAATTGTTGTCTAAAAAAAAAACGTTTAATATTAGTTATACTATTGATGAGAAAACGCATAAGCAGCAATGTACAAATTTTAAACAGAGGAGTTTATTCAAATAACTACTTGAGGGGCCAAACTGACTAAGCCTTGATCTTACAAAATACTTATCTAATACTTATCTAAATACTTTGCAAACATTCCTGAAATTTTCAAAAAAGCATCTCAACAAAAATGAACTGAAATTTCTGTTCCACTCAGATTTTAAAAAAAAATATCAAAAAGTTCTCAAAAAATTACAAACGGAAAGAGAGAAAAGCCATATGGAGGATGATTAATTGCATCTTTTCTAACCTGTTTTTCCGCTTAGGAAACTAGGAGCAACTCTTTTGGTCAATCCAGTATTCAATTCCCACACAGGGTGGATACAGTTCAGCCCTTTCAGCAATTAGCACTGAGAAACTTACTGCTTCTGATCCTAAACCTGAGATGCACCAATTATTCTCTGTGTGTGTGTGCGTGTGTGTGTGCACACATGTATATATGTATGCGTATATATCACACATATATCTCTCTCATGTATGTATGTATGTATGCATGCATCATATACATACATATATATACATACACATACATATAGATTTAGATTTAGATTGCAATAGCACTTAGGCTTATATATACTTATGTTTATATACTGCTTTTACAGCCCTCTTAAATGGTTTACAGAGTCAGCATATTGTCCCCAACAATTTGGGTCCTCATTTTACCAACCTCGAAAGAATGGAAGGTTGAGTCAACCTTGAGCCTGGTGAGATTTTAACTGCCAAATTGCAGTCAGCTGGTAGTCAGCAGAAAGTAGTCTGCAGTACTGCACTCTAACCACTGTGCCACCGTGGCTCATACATAATACATATACATAATAAACATAATCAACAATAACACGATACACTGAAAAGCAAAGGCTTATTAAGTTTTGTCAAGCTAATTTAGGAGCTATTGACAATCTTCCACCATGGTGGTGCTTAATCTCCTCTTAAAACAATATAAGGCTCCCAACACCACAGCATTTCCCCCCAAAAACACAACAAAGTTTAAGTTAATTATGGGTTACATGCTTAATTATCAATTTATAACAGGGGCTGGGCTTGCATATCACATAGTCTAGTTGGGTTCAAACATTTGTGTTCCAATCAAACAAGCCCAATTATTAATTTTAAATAATTGTGAACTTAATAAGTGAGCTTGTTACCCCCCAGAACTCTTTCACCCAGAAGCCTTTTTCTTCACTTTTTAATCTTCTTTACATTGACAGATGTGCACATTAGCTCTCAAAAGAGTTTCACTGCAGACTTTCGTAAAGAAAGGATAAGAGATACCTATCTCATTTCTTTCAACATTCTCCAGTTGCATAGTCCTTGAACCTTCCAACCTACACCAAGCTTTTCTAAACAAGATTCATTTAACATGACACACCGATTAACAGAGTTGGAGGGGACCTTGCAGGTCATCTAGTCCAACCCCCTGCCCAAGCAGGAGACCCTACATCTGCCTCTACCTAGGATGAAACTCACAACCTCCTGATTATGAGGAGAGTGTTCCACCTGTGATGGGGTGGTTTGTGAACCCAGGCAACTGCAATTTTAATTAACCATCGTCAAATAAACCCAAAGTCCTACTTCATATAGCCCCCCCCCTCTATATATGATAACTGTATTTAGGGTAACTGTATTAAACTAAAAGGAGTCTGATTTACTTAAAATTGAGAAGGGGGGTGGGCCTTTTCATGACTGATATCATCATGTGCCATTAAGAGTGTTTTCTATTCCTGGGGATCACATACATTTAACTAGATTTTCTCCAGGTCTTTGGCCTCTTCACGCCAACAATGTATTCTATAGCAGGGGTCTCCAACCTTGGCAACTTTAAGTCTGGCGGACTTCCAGCTTGCTGGGGAATTCCGCCAGGCTTAAAGTTGCCAAGGTTGGAGAGCCCTGTTCTATAGTAAACTTCTACAAGGGAGACTATAGCAGCAGGCTCATCAACCTACAAGAACTCAAGACTCCCGCATAAAATTACCCAGGCACGGATATGTTTACGCGCAGGCTTAATCCCGTTTTCCCTCCCTCCGAAAGGCTTTTTAACCCATACAGAATCGCAATTTCCCCTACATTATACCCCTCACGTGATTGCTCCACCCAGAGAGACGAGGCGCTCAGCAAACGCCAGAAAGGAAGGGGCTAATTTATTTCCCGTTTCCTGGCGGTCAACCCCACGGGTCTTCTCCACACTCCTCGGGCGCGAGGCACCCCACAATTAATCCCTTCGCTCCTCGCCTCCCAGGGATGCTGCAAGAAAAAAAAAAAACCCGCCTGGGCAGCGCAGCAGGAAAGGCAGGCGAAATTCCACAGCATCAGGAAACCAAGGGCAGGAAAAGCAGGGGAGGCCGGGCAGAGAGACGGGCAGACAGACAGAGAAGGAGACTTCGCCCGCTTGTTAGGACAACCTCCAAACGTATCCAACGAGCACCGGGGGACAGGCTCGGCGAAGCGCGGGGGGCTAGTTGAGGCAGGAGGAGGGTTGCTGGCGCAGATTAACCTCCTGCTCTCCCAATGTAGGAGGGGGAAATGCGGAACTAGCGCCCAGCAAAGCAGCCTCAGTGTTCAGCTGGGAAACTGGGCCCAGCGAATCTTCCCTTATCTCCCCCCACTCCACCAAAGAGAGCCCCACCATCTCTCCTCCCCCCACCCAATCCTTCCCTCGGGATTGCAGTAGTTCTGCGTCGGGGCGGCGGCCACCTGAGCCTATGCCACGCACACAGCCCGAGAGGGAACAGGGGCAGCCACAAGCAGGACACACACACCCCTTCAATGCACTACTCGCTTCTTACCCCCAAGCTCGTAGATTTGGCCTCTCGGCGTGTCCCGGGTGTGGGGTGGACGGAGACGGGGCCAGATGTCCGGGTTCCGGACTTGGATCGTCCGAGCGCTCAGCTGATCCGCCGGAGACGGCCACTCCCCTCAACCCAGCCCAGTTTACTGCAGCATGAGCTATTCCCGGAAAAGGAGGAGAAGGAACCGAGGCAGGCCCCGCCTCGCTTCCAAAAGACGCTTCACAGCTGAGATTTCGGTCGGCATAACCTGCTATGGGGAAACCAGACACGCGTGGGTTACACGACTTGCGCGCACGTGTCCCCCCCCCACCCCGGCTGGTCCGGGGACTCTGTCCTAATCAGCTACCACAACAACGAACCACTAGGCTCATGTGTGAAAAAGGCGGTGGCGGCAAATAAAAGGGTCTCCCCAGAAACCAGTTTGCCCCCAAATATCTTTTAACTGCCTGACCTTTTAAAAGCGCACGTACACCCACACGCGCGAGAAACACGTTACTAGCGAAAGGCGATACAAACGGAACAGTGCAGTCTGTTACTTCTGAACCCTCCCTTCCTTTTTTCTTGTTTATTTTTTTAAATTTATTTGGTTTGTCAAGCATGTATGACAAAACAAGTATAAGTAGGACTACCTGTACATGACCGCATCCTCCACTTGTCCACAACCCACTGGGAGGGCAATCCCACAATCAGATGTGCCCCATTGCAACTTTAATCATCTCCAAGTCTCTTGGAAGTTATTTCTATACTTCTTCTTATGCAGATCTTTTCAGAAGATTACATACATTTGTTGTAGCTGCTCCGTTAGTTGCTGTTGATTTTAGTATTTATTTAATTTATTTAAACAATTTATAAGTCATTATATCTCATACAGTGATCTTAGGCAGCTCATAATAACCAGTAAAAATAGAATTAAAAGGAAACATTTCCTAGCAAAGGGAGACCAACCAAATTATTAATTTTTAAACTCAACCGCAACCCTAGCCCAGTGCTTGGTGTCGGTGCAACCTTTTGGAAGTTGAAAGTGGTTCTGACATCAGACATAGGGGGCAGAAGTGTATTCAGCAGGTTCTGACCAGTTCTGGAGAACCAGTAGTGGAAATTTTGAATAGTTCGGAGAACCAGTAAATACCACCTCTGACTGGCACCGCCCCCATCTATTCTCTGCCTCCCGAGACCCAGCTGATTGGGAGGGAATGGGGATTTTAGAGTCCCCTTCCCTTGCCACGCCCACCAAGCCATGCCATGCCCACCAAGCCACGCCCATAGAACTTTATAGTAAAAAAATTTGAATCCCACCACTGATAGGGGACCTTCAAATCTCAGATGAGAGGCTTTTCCCAAGGATTGCAGTAGTTGTAGAGAAAGTCAGCCTCCAAAGTCCCATCAGAGGACACCATTTAAGGCAAGGGACCTTGATCGTGTTCACTTTATCTGATCTAATAGGATGGGCAGATATCCTTGGAGAGACATGGCCCCTGTGCCATGTAAAGCTTTAAAGAAAAATCACCAGTCTTGTATTGAACTCAGAAAGCAACTGGGGGCCAGTTTAGCTCATGTAACAGTGGTATAGCTCTGGCGAACAGAGGGGCACTCTGAACATCACAGGCTGGTGCATTATGGATCCATTGCAGCTTATGGATGGTCTTCAAGAGTAGACCCACATAGAGCACACTGCAGTGAGCCAGTTGAAAAGTGATTAAGGCATGAGTAACCATGAGCAAAGTAATCCAGGAATAGGTGCGATGAATGCATTAAGATTGTAGGAAGTTAGCATCCACCCCTTTCCTAGGAAAATGGAATATTCTAGGAAATATTAAAAAGGCAGAATAAAATATTTCCCCTAAAAGAGAAATAGAAATCTTAAGGCAGAAACGCAGCCCCAGCTCCCTGTCCCCAGCTGATATTTTGGTTATCTACAAGACAAAAGACTGGGCCAGCTTATCTACAACACAAAAGACCCTCAACTCCAGGGTAATAGGATTAGCTCTCACTCAAGATCCAAACCAGGAGAAAGCCATTAAGCCATAATAGGAATTGTCCAAAGCCCCTTCATTACAAAATCACCCAACAAGATATAATCTGGCCCCATGGGAGTCTGACAACCAACCAGAGTACATTTCTTACACAGGAACAGGAAGGTCCAAGGCAGGGCCCAAGAGAGACTATACATCTATCTCCCTCTCTCACCCATGTGATCTTTTTTGCCCAGGACCTCAAACGACGTGGTCCTGTCCACCATTAAACCATTTTTCCAAACAGTCTCCATATTTCTATGTCTATGTCTCCACTTGGAACCGAACCCAGATGGACATTTCTTCCAACAAGATGAATTTGTGCAAAGGTCCCCCTGGCTACAGCTGCTCACTCCTCTTCTGGCAGAAGCCATGAGTACAGGATGACGCCCCTCCCCCCCCAAATTTCACAGTTCTGTCAGGAGGATGTTAGTGTTACCCCAAACAGAGATATGACCTATCCTGATGTGGGGAAGGAGGGCAAGGCACACACCCACAGCATCTTGCAATGGTTGACTTGCAGCTGGTTTCTCCCCATCCAGTGCCCCACATTCTCAATCTGCAGAACTGATGCAGGAAGAAAACATGGTTGATGGTACTGAAAGCTGCAGAGAGTCCAGAAAAGGACAGACCACTCCCATCCTGAGCCCTCCAAAGGTCATCCACAAGTATGAATTATGCTGTCTTAATCAGTGGTTGGATTCAAAAATGGATGTGG